GAGCCACCCAGGCGCCCCCAATAAATCCAAGCCCCGTGTCGGGCTCTGCGCGGACAGCACGGAGCCTGCTCGGGATTCTCCCGCTCTGACCCTCCCCTGCTCACACGCAGTCTCTCTCTCTCCTCTCTCAAAATTAATAAACTTAAAAAAAAAAAAAAAAAAAACAGAGACAAAGTCTCCAAAGAAAGGTTGCAGTTTGCTCAAACTCAGGCTCTACGCTTTGGGCATCCGATCTCAGAACGAGGACTCCACCTGGACGCACACGAAACCCCTCATGACTGCTTGACGCGGACACATCACCTTGCCCATCACAAGTGACAGGAAACTCGTCCAACCAACGCGCACTTTCATGGTGTGCGGAGGGAAGCGGCGGGCACCGTGCCAGCTCTGCTACAGCAACTCCCGTGGCAGCCACCGAGGCGGCTGCTTTACCGCCTGTTGCTTCAGCCCAACAGGCTGCCACAGGCCCGTCCCGGAGCTCAGACCTCAGCCGGGGTAAAACCGCACACATTAACGCCAACACTCGGTGTGCCTTCGGGGCCGCCCGGGATCCGGAGACGTTCCGGGAGCCACAAGATTTCCTTAGCTCCAATGGGGATGAAATTTCAGATGGCTCCTACGTCTGAAATGTATTAGAAGCCTCACTTCGGCCAGCAGCTCTGACTGTCGTTAAGGGCATTCAAGACTTGGCTCCCTGGAGGCCAAAGGAAACCACTAGGCTGCTATTTCCACCAGCAGTGTCGCTGTCAGGGAGGCCGGTAGCTAGACCTCAGTCATTTTCCAAAGGGACGTTCTTCCAAATGACGATCTGGTACAATTGACCAGAGGTGCCCAACGATTGGCCCCAGAAGAGAAAGACAATGTTGGAAACATTGGTAATTGTCGGTTTGATAAAAGTTCGACCAAGTAACACCCCGGCCCCGCCAGAAATTCCAAAGTCCCACTTGTTACCACCAGACACGTATTAAACCACTGGTTTACTCACAAAATGACAGGGTTCATGAACAAACGTGGAGACGTATTAAGAGAAGTGCCACAAGAAGTGCCCGCCTCGCTCGCCCTGCCTGTCAAACGTATACTCTGGAGAAGCCTGCTCGTTTCATAAAACGTGCTCGTCTCATGGACGTAATTATGTTTTGGTCACGGTCCGTATCTTTCCTCGCTGGGCCGAAGTTTTCCTTACACACAGGCCCCTGCCGTTTCTGCGGCTAAAATTCTGTCAGAAAACATTACCCCTACCTGGGAACCCTCCAGCTATGCAGTGACCAGGGGACCCATTTCCCAGGCGGGTGCTGCAGTGAGTCTGTCCTGTCTGGCTGGTTGCGCAGCGTCGTCACCGTGGGTGAGTCACATTCACCTAACGGCACCGCTAAGACTCAGTTGGCAAAATGTGTAGAGGCCCTCCAACCATCGTGGCCTAAAGCACTGTGGTTGGTCCTATATCTGAGATCCCCCGCCGTGGGGACTCCTAGGCTCTCACCCTGTGAGGTCGTCACAGGGTGTCAGTGCACTTGGCCCCTGCCACCTCTGACCCACAGCTGGTAACAGGAGATGCACTTCAATGTTGTAAAGGCCTAAATGCTTCCATTAAAAATAACCATGCTTTCACAGAGCGATCTTTTCACCGTGCGCTCCTGGGAGACGGTGACCTTAGATCAGCCTTGCCACCTGGAGGCTGTCAGAAAAGAAGCCTCCAGAAAGATTTTCTTCCCCACTGGAAAGGTTCTCATCAGCCACGGGTAACCAGCCTTTGTGCTGCCGAACTACAGGAAATAGACTCTGGATTCACGTGACGCATCTAAACGAAGCAGTGAACCCCGAGTGGCCCTGCGTGCCGTCCGGTGACCTGAGAGCACAGATTTCCTGGAACCGAGGCGGACGAGACCGCTTTGCCAAGACGTGCAGCCCAGGCCCGTGCTCCTTGTCCTCGCCGCTGCAGCTGCTGTCTTTCATGACAGGGACGCTTTCGTCTGCATTTCCCACACCCTCGAGAAAGGGCAAACCTCTTCGTTTATGGCTTTTCGCTGAAGCCTCGTCGTGATCCAATGACACGTGAATGTTTCATTTTCACAAATGTTTTCTGAAGAGCGAGAAGGTTCAGAATTTGCAGAAGTCTTTCCTTCGTCGAAACCATTACCCAGATTCACGGTGTCTGAATTTACAAGGGTACGTATTGTATCCGTGAGAACACCTCTGGTTCCACACAGCGCGTTTGAGATGACAGTACTGATTTAAGACGTCTTTGAAGTTTTCCCGTTTTGCAAGAAGTTCATCTATTGCTTTCTTTCTCTGCTTGCACCGTATCCTCCCAGATGCACAGCTCATTCTTTCAGGGTGCCCCTGCGGGCCCGCTGCGCTGCCCTCATGGCTGTCGTTGAGGGAGATTTCAGGAGGAAGACACGGCCTCTGTTTGCTTCCGCAGGGAGAACCCTTTCCCCTACGTCAGAGTAAGTGCTGGTAAGTATTTCAGTCGGCTCCCTTCACACCTGGTCCTGGCTCGTCATATGATTTGGCCTTATCGTGTTACTTCCTCTTTTGTATGTTATCTTAAGGTCTGTATTTTGTTACTTCTTCAAACTTTTGAAACACGACGTACCCAACAAGGAGATGCTCTCCAAGGCTTACGGCACTGGCACCATACAAACTTTAGGCTTGTGTACCTTCAGGCGGCCTTTCTCCGCCTCCTGACCTTCCGTGTTACTGAAACGTGGCCCTAAGTGGTTTGCAGCAAGCTATGCACTTGACCTGTGATGTGGGACAGGACAACCAGGCAAGGTCCTTCCTGGCACAGAGGAAGAGGACCACTAAATATGGAAAACGTGACTTGATCAGTGATGCTTTCAAAGAAAGATCTTGATCAAAAAGGGGAAATGTGAGAATAAAGGGAAACCTCGTTTAGAAAATGGAGTCAGGGGACGCCTGGGTGGCTCAGTTAGTTGAGCATCGTACTTCGGCTCAGGTTGTGATCTCACGGTTTGTGAGTTCAAGCCCCACATCGGGCTCTGTGCTGACAGCTCACAGCCTGAAGCCTGCCTCAGATTCTGTATCTTCCTCTCTCTCTCAAAAATAAATGTTAGAAAAAAAAAAGTCAGGAGGCCGGCAGGGGGCGCTCTCAGCCCCACCTGCCAGGTCGGTTGCAGACTCCACAGGAAGAGACCAACCGTGCAAGTCGATACGCAGCTGGCCCTTGGACAACAGGGCTCTGAGCCGCGCTGTCCACTTACACACTGACATGCACATTTCTTTGTAAATATGGTACAGACTAAAGATATTTTCCTTGTGATTTTTTCTCTTTTCCCTAGCTTGCTTTATTGTCAAAATACAGTATGTAACACAGATAATTGCTTCTTGGCCTTTCGGCTAAGATCAAGTGTAGTACAACACATATTACAAAATATGCGTTAACCAACTGTGCTACTGGTAAGGCTTCCGAGCACCAGAGTTTTGGGGAGTCTAGTTACATGTGGATTTTGACTGCTTGGGGGCTTGGCCCCCTTGCCTATAAGTTGTTCAAGCATAGACTGCTACCCCAGCAGGAGGGAGGTCCCCTCCCACGACAGCCCAGCCCCCAGCTCACCCCAGGGGACGTTTTGTCTACAACAGCCTCGCCGCACCCGCACCCGCAGAAGAGCCTCCTCTCCCGGTTCTGCAGACTTGCTGTGGTTTTGCTGTAACTTGCTCATCCCGGATGCAATTCTCTGCTACTCCCCGATGAGCCCAGTTCTGCTGGCTGTCCACCCCCCAACCCTACAGCGGGGCCCGCGGGCCGCCTGTGCTCACATAGCTGCGCCATTCATGGGCTGTTAACACGGCCCCTCTTGGCCTCAACAGGTGTCCCCAACCAATGCCAGCGGCAGCGGGCTCTGGCCTCCTTCCCTGCAGCTCTCTCTCTGCCTCCCTTCCCACCTCAAACAGGTTGAGGACCTCACGGTGGAGGTGGGGCGGGGGCCGGCATCCCCACGTGAGGCTCTACTCCAGGGCCTCCCCGAGGGGCACTTCCCACCCGCCCTGAGCCCCACCAGGAAGAACTTGGAAATCTGCGGCACGCAGGGTGAGCAGTGGATGACACGGCGCAGGCGAACTGCAGCCCACAGAAACCGAACACGGATCCCAGCAAAGGACTCAGAGACAGAAGACGCAGTCCCACTAAGAGCTGAGACCGGGGCCGTGAAAGTTTTCCCGACCTTGACACAACGCTGCTGCGTGTCCCGGGCTGAGCGGTGGCCCCTAAATCTGTCCACCTGGAACTTGTGACCGTGACCTTATTTTGGAAAAAAGGTCTTTGCAGATGGAATTAAGGATCTCAAGAGAAGACTGCTCTGGATTAGGGTGACCCTAAATCCGAGGACAAGCGTCCTTATAAGACACAGAGAACAAGACACAGACACAAGAGGGCCAAGTGAACACAGAGGCAGAGACGGAGCGATGCATCTGCACAGCAAGGCACGCCGGGGCCGCCAGAAGCAGGGGTGGGTGGGATGGACGCTCCCTCAGAACCTCAGAAGGAGCCAGCCCTGCCCACCCCTGGGTCGTGGCCTCCTGAACTGTGAGAAAGTAAATTTCTATTGCCTTCAGCCGCTCGATTTATGGTGCTTTCGGATGGCAGGCTCAGGAAACTAACACACCAGGTCAGCCCCGGGCTCCTGCACGTGTCTGGGATACGGACACAACATGCAGGGCAGGGCCTGTCCAGAGCCTTCGGGATGGACATTAACTGCAGCAAACGCTTCCTCCCGCTTCCAGCCCGTGGACTCGGGGTCCAGCGACCCAGTCCTTATCACTGTGCGGGGCCCTTGCCCCGCCCCCCGATATCACAAATCCCGGCAGTCACCGGTGGAGCAGCCAGCCTGGGGTCCAGTTTACCACCAAGCACCGGGCCGGGGGATCACGGTCTGGCCGCGCGCAGTCAGTAAGTGGCTGTGGCTAGACTTACAGATGGCCGTTTACACGGTTCTAGTTGCTTTACCATCAAACCCTCTCGCTCCAGAGCAATGATTTACCTGCCAGGTTCGAACTTGAACTCGGTTTGGCTCCACGGTGTAAACGTTTTCCTCGTGCATGGCCAACACTGGAGATTCACACAGGAAGGTTCCTAGGACGAGAGATGAACAGGATACGACGGCAGCCCACCTTTGCACACGTGCTCAGACTTCAGCTCCTCACGCACGTTCCCTTCTCGCCCCGGCCCTCGCCACGGCGCAGGGAGGGGTGCGTTCTTGCGGGAAAGCGAGGCCCGAGGCACGGGGACAGCGCGTGCAGGCCCGGGGCTGGTGCGGGGCTGCGGCACCAGGGACCCCGCCCTGCCCCACTCACTAGCCGTCTCCTCTCTCCTCCAACTAACTAGTAGCTGGTGCGGCTGTTCGAGCAGGTGTCCGTCCACTCTAGGTGGATCTTGGAGGCCACCAGCCCTCGTCTCTGGGTCTAGACCGGTTCTTATCTAGTCAGGGAGGTGATGATACACACGAGACAGAAAATACGTCAGCACCTGCCGTGCTGTCTTCCCGTGAGGCGAGAAGTTCATCCCTGCCCCGAGGGGGTCTGCCCTGGAAGAGAGGACGTTAAGTAAGGCCAGAACACGAGGCAGGGCAGGAAAAGTCTTCTAGGAAAATTTAGGCAATGAAGTGTTAGAGGAGAAAAGGAGGGAGGGGTGGGGAAGCGGGGACAGCCTCCCGTGGGGTGAGGGAGCAACACCCCCAGGGACGTGAGAGCGGCTCAGACAAGCCCACAGGGAGAGCCTCCCAGAGCACGCGATGACCGGACCCGTGGGGTCAGCGCGGGTGGACAGGACAACCATATAGGAGAGCCGGCCAAGAAGCGCATCCCGAGGGTCGTTCGGGTATGCTGGACACGACCCCCAGAGCTGTCAGGTCTTCATCCCTGGAGCCATGAATGTTAGGATAAGGGCAAAGCTGGAGGGTTGTGAGATGGGGAGATTGTCCCGGATGACTCAGGTGGGCCCTAGAGGCAACCACAAGCGTCCCCGTAAGAGGGAGCCGATTTGCAACAGGAACGAGTCGACGGTGCGGGTAGGCCCTGGAACGATGGGGCCCAAGCCAAGGACGGCCACCAGCCGCCAAACGTTGGAAGAAGCGAGGGACAGACTCCCCAAGTGCTCAGGGGGTAGCGCGGCCTGTCGGCACCTCGATTTGGCCCCGGGGAAAGTGAGTCTGGACTCCTGACCTCTACGGCTGTGAGAGAGAAAATTTCTGCCTAGGTTGCGGTCACTGTCACAGCAGGCCCAGGACACTCCCGCAGGCCTGTGCTGAAGAGTGAGGGAAAGGCGCCCGTGTGAAGGAGGCGGAGGCTGACAGAGCGTCTCTGACAGCCCATCTCACGTTTCCAGACACAGGCTGGCTTTGGTCAAGGTGCCACGGGGCTCCTGCTCTGAGCGGGTCGGGAACCAGTTCAGAAGCCGGGTTATCGTAGCAACCCCCTTCCCCAGAAAGCACTGCGGCTGTTCACTGTCCTGGCACCCAGGAGGGCTTCCCGGCCACCCCCCGCTGGCTTCGGTAGGGTGCCGCCCATCAGTGAAGGGCCGGAGCCCTGGGCCAGGGCCCACACCACGGGCACCAGCACCCCTGTTGGATGGCGAGAAGATAAAAGCAGGGTGCCGTGAGCCCCCCGTGGGGGGACAAGGCTCTCACCGGCATTCCGTAACGTGGCTCCAGAAGGCTCGAAGATCGCCACCTGTTTCCCGTTCCAGACAGCAACGGCATCCTATAGAGAGTCACGGAGATCATAAAGCAACCTGCCACCGGCACCCTTACCGCCCCGAGTGACCCAGACAGCTGGCCAGGTCCTTTGTCCACACCGAAGAGCCCGGCCGAGCCCAGCGTCCCCCGCGCGGTCACCTTGGTGGCGAACACCCCGCGGACGTGCATGTCTGTGCGCAGGCTGTGCGTCACGCCCGTGGACAGGAAGGACACGCTGAGCAGGCTTGGGGAGGTCTGCACCACGGCCACTTGCTGGTGGAAGTGTGAGCACATGGCCTGCTCGCTGAGGATCACCACGGAGCTGATGCTGTTGACCGCCAGCAGGCTCTTCCGCGAGCCCCACTGGGTTCCGCGCCACAGACGAGATGAGAGTGGGGCAAAGAGGAGGGGGGCGCGGTCAGGAGAGCGGCACACGCGCGGAGCGTCGACAGTTTTCCCGGCACTACCTCCCCTCGTTATGGAAACCGATTTACAGATTTTTAAGCGTAAAGTACGCGCCGTACGGAAAACCGTGAAACGCGGACGCTCGAGGTGTGACGCGACAGGGAGACACTGGCGTGGCTGTCCCGTCTCCTCCGGTCTGTTCTGACCCGTGAATTGTCAATTTAGGGATGTTTACTCTTTGTAAACGGACAGCAGGCTGACACAGTGTATTAAATCGCGTGGCTCTCCTCCGGTGACACGAACTCCTGCTTTGATAACTTCACATCACCCTCCAAATCTACCTCAGTCTGGCTTTGGCTGCGCTATCCCGCTCCACGGCTACGTCTACCCATTCGCGACCAGCGTGCACTGTTTTAATTGCTGTAGTTTCGAGATATGTTCTGGTCGGGGATACGGAAACGTTCTGATTCTGTACGTGTTTTCCTCAGCCACGTGCCATGTGCTCTCCCAGAGGAGTTAACTTTGTTGAATTCCTCCGGAAGGGAAAAAAAAAAAAAGGTCATGATTTGCACAGACGTACATGTAATGGGTAAGTTTACTTGGGAAGAAGTGACACGTCTATAAGATCGAGGCTTCTCTTTAAGGAATGTCTCAGCGCTTACTTGGTTTCTCTTTAAGTTCTTCAGGAAAATTAGCAGGGCTCTTCCTATCTCTTCAAACCTGAGAAAGTCGTACGTTCTCTGCCGACCTGATAATAATCTATGCTCTCTGCAGCCATTCATTTTGGCCTCGGTAAGATACTTAACTCCCTACTTCACCGAGAAGCGACTTTTACCTCCGGCTGTGCCACAAGGGTCTAAGGGTAGCCCCCAAAGTGCCATATGGCGCCCCTGACCACTTAGCACGTGTGTCCTCCCGTCCTGACCCGGCTGCGCTTAGGTAGATCTGGTCTCAGAGGACCGCACACCGCAGGTCTGAGGACCAGGTCTGAGGCGGCAGGTCAGGAGCCCTGAGGCGGGGGCGGGCACAACCGGAGCAAAGTGTGAGGCAACGGCCACCTAACGCTCTGGGAGTTGGGCAAGAGGCAAATGAAGAGGGCCTCAGGAAAGTCCGCTGGACCCGGCAGGAACAGCAGCGTCTGTGGCGCCCTCCCCCCGCCCCCCCTCCCCCCCGGGCAGGTGTGGCCGGGAGGTCGGCTCCCTGTCTCATCGCAGCCACAGCATCTCCCAGGTGGCGTTTCTCACTCCCCTGGCTCCACGTTGTGAGGGTGGGGTCCCTGCGGCTCACGGGGTGCCCGAGAATGCCGGGCCCCCACGCCCGCGCCCCGGCTCACTCGCGGTGCGTGGGCTCCACTCTGGGAGAGGCGGCCTGAGGAGACCACAGGCCGCGGAGCCCAGCTCCCTGCTCACAGGGCAGGCAAGGTATCACTGCACGGAAGTGGCCACCGTCCCCTTTCTGAGCTCTGGAGGGGCGACTCAGACTTTCTTCCCCCAGGAGGAGAGACAGCCCGCAGGAACAGAGCTCCGAAGCGCTCCCCAGAGGAGGTGACCTCGCCGGAAACAGAACGTGGGCAAGTCCGAGCCTCAGGGTGCTCTCGGAGAGAGCGGGGGTTTGGGTGTGAGCACCGGGAGGAGGCTGGGAGCTTCACGAGAGCTACAAGCTCCCCACAAGCCAGACCGATGCCCAGAGGGAACGGGGGACAGACACGCCTAGAGCGGCCTTACTGGGTCACAACGAAGCCCCGGCCCTGAGCTCAAAGACCACACCTGCCCAAATCGGATGGGACCGGACCGTGGGGCAATCGATGCCCAGAGCCACTGGCCAGCAGCTGAGTGCGGCTGAGGCACGAAGTTCGGCAGATCAGGGAGAGGACGGTCAGAGAGCCTCACGGTCCCTGCTGCGCCAGGGGACAGAGACGTCACTGCGGTGGTCCAGCCACCGAACAAATAAACAAGCGGCAGCAAGAAACCCTAGAGGCGGGGGGGCGGCTGGAGGAACGGTTTGCAACCAAAAATCGAGAGCCGCGTAAAACGGGAGAGTATGACAGACACCCTGGAAAGTAAAAGCAAACAGAAACTGCCAGAAAGCCCAGACGTCACGTTTAACAGGGCTTCACGGCAGCCACTATAAACACATTCAAACAATACAGGTAACGGCACCTAGAGGAGCGAAGGAAGGTGTGACACTGCATCTCCCCAAATACGGGCCATCGACAGCGAGACCATTCATAATAAAAGAGCAGAAAAGGCATACGCCCCAGAGAAATGAAATCATATGTCCACACAGAAGCTTGTACACAAACGTTCACGGCCACGTGAGTCACAACAAGTCCAGACACGGAAACAACCCATGTGTCCATCGATGGAACGGATGGAAGGAGAACGGAAACGAAACGCGGTCCACGCCCGCACCGGGCGCCCCTCAGCTGTGGGAAGGGATGAACCGCCCACATGCACCGTAACGGGCACAGACGGGGGACACGTGACGCTCGGTGACAGAGGCCGGACACGGAAAGCGGCGGGTTGTACGGTTCCGTCTCTCCCAGACGCCAAGTGCGGGCAAACCCGGAGACAGAAAGCGCGCGTGTGTGCGCACAGAGGACAGGGGATGGGGGGTTGGAGGGGGAGGAGTGCACACTCCGAATGCACTGAAAGGAAAACCAGGGTGTTACCCATCTCGACAAAGCTGCTGTCAGCGTAGAGAGAGGTGACGGAGAGAGGGTGGGTGGACGGAGAACACGGGTACCGAGGACTACGCACCCACAGTCCCGTATCCACAGTTCCGAAACCCCAAAGGCCTTCAGAGTCATTCTGTTGTTTTTATAGGGCCCTAGGCTGAGGAACTGGCAGGTTCAAAGCCAACCACGTCCTCCGCCGTCGCAGGGCGGAGAGAGTGCCCAGCGCCCCGGTGCCGCGTACCTTGATGTGCGTGATGTCGCCTTCGAGCTCAGTGGGGGTCTGAACGGCCCACCTGTCCTTGCCCTCGGCCGCTCGGCCGCTCTGCGGGCCCGGCAGTTTTCTCCACATGGCAACTCGCCCCTTATCGGTGCCTGCTGCCAGGAGACCTGTGGGTAAAAACGAAGCTCTCCGAGGTGAAAGGGTTAAAGGCAGGGGCAAAGGCTCTCAAACATCCGAACCGGCCCTCTGCCCGGTGAGCTCCGGCACCGGCCCCGCCCCCACCCGCGTGCGCCGGGGGTGCCGGTGCCGCTCCTCCGGATCTTCCACGAGAGCAGGGGCCTGGGTGCCCGTTCGGGGCTGCTTCCGGGGCTAGCCTGGCACCCAGTGCCCGGCAGGCACAAAATAAACGATGGCCTGGCTCGTCGCCCGTTTTCCTGCCCTCCGCGTGCGTACACGCGTGCACACGTGCGTACAGGCACATGCATGCGTATTGTTACTTTCCCACACTTTTCCTCGCGGCTTCAGGAGGGAACACAGGTCACCTGCCTGTACCCACGGCGGCCACGCTGTCGAGCAAACCCGCCGACCTTCACGTGCTGTCATTTTCCGGCTCCCCAGTGACTTTGCTCAGGCGACTGACAGTTACAGCCCATCTACCGCTCTCTGAGTCGCCACCAGCCGTTTTGCCGCCCACAGAGCGAGGACTGAGGCCGCCTCTCTCTCCCCGGCACCCGACAAGGCTCACCTTTGACTTTACAGTAAGAAACACAGTTTATATTCTCTCCTTTCTCAAAACCGAACTTCTCTTCTGGACTCAGCACATAATTCTCTCCTCCTTCCAAATCCCAGAATCTACAATGAAAGGCAGATGGCGCCATTCAGGGGACCATGTCGCGCCCTTCCCCGCCTCCCAGGGTCTTGCTCCATGTGCACAGCGATCGGGAAGCGGACGGAGCCCGAGGGACTCCCACACGAAAGGCCCGCCGTCGTTATGCTTAGATCTATTTGATGCCTTGTTCATATTCAAAGGGAGCAGGGTTCGTGACACACCAGGTCACAACGAGAACGAAGGGACCCCAACCACAGGCATTAACATGGGAGAAACCCAAGCATCCCATGGAGCAGAGGCAGGTAGATAAGCCAAGACGTGATTCCACATACGCCAGGCTCGAGAAAACCACGCATCGGAATCGGGACGGGCCTGCCCGGTGAGGGCCAAGAGGGGACGCCTGGGTCGGTGCTGTGCTCTACTCTCTGACCTCAGAGCTGGTTGTGTGGATGTGACTCCAAAGGGACTGACCCTCGAAGGCGGTGCCTGCCGAGCATCCGGGCTCTTACCTGAGGATGGGCTCCCCTACGGCGGTCACGAGCACACTGTCCTCAATCAATGCGATGTCTGCCCGGTGACCTGTCTTCCCACTCAACTTGACCTGATGACGAGAAACAACCTGAAGGAAGCACGTTGCTCTTTGGAGCCCAGAGCGTCCAGTGTGTGGTGGCCTGGTGGGGATGTGCCAGCCGGGTGGGTGGAGACACATGGAAAGGCGATGCCCACTCAGCCACACGACTCTCTGTGGTATGTTAAATGGCTAACGACTGTGCCTTCCGCGCATGGCGCATGGTGAGCGCGTTTCTAGAGCAACTACCAAGGCGAGCCCCGTTCAGACATGACCACACGCTCTCGGGCAGGTGTCGTGACCCCGTTCTGCCCGGGCCCCCCGGCCAGTGAGAGGCTCACGGAGATCTGGACCCGGGTCCTCATGACTCAGGACCCTATTTTCCACTGCTGTGCCAGGGGCACCTAAGTAATTGTGTAAACACCTATTCACAAGAAATCAATCAGCTCGGTAACCTACAGGATCATCTTCAGGAGAAGTTCAGAATTCTCTCAGGAACGTGGACTCAGCTGGTACAAACCAGGGGACTGGCCAGAGGCAGGGTGGACCAGCCCTCACTGAGCGGCAGGCCGAGAGCAGTGGCCAACATGGGGCTGAGACACCTGCTCCAGGCCTCGCTGGATCTCGGCAGCCCCACAGCTGGACGTGTGCTGCCCAGGAGGGCGACTGACACGCCTTGGGGCAAAACAGGGCACGTGCAGGGGAGGGGGGGCAGCGGCGGCTGTGAGGGAGGGAAGTGAGGGCCCCATCTGCACAAGGGTGGGAAGCAGGACGTTGTCCCCCATCCCGTTCCCACCGTGAAGGTCAACTGAGCTGCTGCTGTGGGGTGAGCAGTTGTCCCTAGTCAGAGCCGGGTGTCCAGGCTGCGAGCTGGCCGCCCTCTCCCGCCCCCGCCCGTCGGCGGATTCCCGCAAAGCTCCTGGGAACGGAGTCACCTTCGTGACGGTCCTGGACGGCGGTGCTCAGGTCGGGTGAAGCCCGGCCCGGCCGCCCTGCTGCCCGCCTACCTTCATCACTTCCTCCGTTTCGCCCTCGGGCCTCACCACGAACAGGGACAGCAGCAGGCTCCGCGTGACCACCACCAGGGCCTCCCTCCTCTCCAGGTAGAAGAGCGCCTGCACCGAGCTGTCCGTGGACGCTGCCTCGGTGGTCTTGCCTTTCTCGTCCACATAGTGCACCGTCCCTAAGGGCAAAGGGGTCAGTCCAGGTGGGGGGCACTCGCCGGCCGTCCCTGTAGCTACTTAGGTGCGATTGCAAAGCACAAACACGTCCATTATAAAACTTTACAAACCAAGCACTGAAAAACCGTCTGCACATAGACTCCCCGGCCATCTCTGAAATAAGCTTCACTTCTCAGCCCTGCCCACCTGCCAGGCGGCCTCGAAACTCCCTGTTCCCCCTGATGTGCTGACATTAGGTGCACATCCCTCACCCAGACGCCGAGACCTGGAGCCACGGCCCTCCTGCAGCCGCACGCGTTCTCCCGACCCAGAGGCCCTCCCTCCCCTGCTCTGCCCGGCCTGCCAGCCCCTCCTCAGCCTTCTGAGTCGGTGGGGAGCCTCCGGTGAGTGCCCGCCAAGCAGCCCTGTCTGCTGCCCTCAGGAGCCTCCCCACCCTCCCCGTCCGCTCTCGTCTGCTTCCAAGGATAACGTGACTTCCCGTTCAACCTTACAACTTCAAGGTTGTGCCGAGGCCGCGGTCAGCACGACGTCACCATGCCGGCACCGCCTCAGCGAGCATCTGTGGCAGGCTTGGTGACACCCACACGTGTTCACTCAGCTGACGTGTCCCGCGAGCTCGCAGGCAGGGGTCTGACTGCACAGGGTGACCCTCCCGAGGCCCACAGCTCCTGTGGGAGGGGCAGGCCTGACCCTTCCAGAGCCAGGCTTGTCCCCACCGCACACCCCTGCCCACTGGGCCTTCTTCCCATATCATCTCCTCGACTCCCTGCTAAGGGGGCCTTGGCGCTGGCCTCTTCCTCCCGGCACCTGCCCACGGCTCTGTACCCACGCCTGGCCCTCTGGACCTCCTCCAAGTCCCCTCCATCAGCCGTCTCTTTTTACCTCCAGAAACAAGCGGTATCTCTACCTTAACAAGGGCAAAGCCCAGCCCTGGCAGCTGCCCTCTGCTCTCTTCTTCCCGTCAAGGCTGAGCTGCGTGGCGGCCCGCCCTGTGGAAGCCGTCGTGAGCCCCCCTTCCCTGCTCTCACTCCTGCGGCATGCACACCCGTGTCTCCCATGACTTTAACCCTTCTTCTTTGCCCGCACCCCATACCGCACTTATCTGCTGCCGCGGGTGCCTGTGTCCCTGCTCACACTGAGGAGTCAGGACCCAGACAGACGGTGGCCCCGCCCGTCCTGCCCTGTCACACTCCCTCCCCAGAGCTCAGGTCAGGGCGCTTCCAGGCCACACAGACTGGACAACAAGAGGGCAGCGCCGTCCCCCTGCCCGGAGCTACGCGCGGGAGCGGCTGGGGCGGGGGGAGGTACCAACGGGGCCTCGTCCTGAGGGCCCTCCAAACACAAGCCGAGCCCATCCGCCTCCATCAGGACCAGGTGAGGCCCTTCTCTGAACGCTGGGTCAGCGATGGCCGAGAGTCGCTGAGGCGCACTCTGAGGCTGGCACACACACAGGCTACTGCTTTTTTATGCAGAGACATCACCTCTTTGTTCACAGTCCCTACCAGACGCCCCTCAACGCTTCAATGTCCTAGAATCCCCACCTAAAATTCTCACCATCCATCAGGCTGACAAAGAACGACAGTCCCTCTTGAGAGCCCACTTTCAGGAGACTCCCAAAGCCGCTTTTCCTCCAGTTAAACATGTCCAGGGCTCGCTCGTCGCCACTCACAGCCGCCTTCGCCAGCTGAACGAGGTCCCTTTGGAAGGCGGACACGACAGGAAGTCAGATTCCCAGAGGTTCCTTACAGGAAGGCGTGGTCACTGCAGATGTGCCCGCAGCCCGCCCCGCACCAGCCCCGCGCTCTTACTCACTCGCCAGGAGGGGGGAGCCGGAAGATGCAGCGGGTTAGGGGTTTTCCGTAGTCGTGCTTCAGCAGAGGAGGCCCTTGTACCCGACCCCTCTGGTCCAACCTCCACAAGAGCAGGACGCCAAGCTGGAAAACCCAACACACGTGTGAAGGAGACACAATCTTACGGTGACCGGTGGGAGTGTTACGCGGTGCGAGGGAATAAAGGCCGATTCCTTTTACGACGAGTCACAAAACTGTTATGTGTGCGCCGTGAACGTGGGAGGAACAGGAGCCTCCCGTGTGCCCTCTGCCACCCTCACTCCCCCAGATAACACCTGCCACACAGCCAGCTTTCAAAACTCAATTTTTTTTTTTAATTTTTTTTTTTCAACGTTTATTTTTGGGACAGAGATAGACAGAACATGAACGGGGGAGGGGCAGAGAGAGAGGGAGACACAGAATCGGAAACAGGCTCCAGGCTCTGAGCCATCAGCCCAGAGCCCGACGCGGGGCTCGAACTCACGGACCGCGAGATCGTGACCTGGCTGAAGTCGGACGCTTAACCGACTGCGCCACCCAGGCGCCCCTCAAAACTCAATTTTTGAATAGACTCAGATTTACCAAAAGCGGTAGAGATCATTCAGAGAAGTCCTGTTCTCCACCCCTCACTTCTCCCGTGAGCAGACCTTACTTAGCATAGTGCGTTTCCCAGATTTAACAAGCCGACACTGACGTACTGTATTGACTAGAGTCGTGCTTTATTCACACTTACTTTCTCCCTGGGTCCCCCCCCACCAGGAGCCACAGGACATTTGGGCGTCACGTCCCCTTGGGCTCCTCTGGGCCGGGACAGTGTCTCTGACCCCCCCCCCCAGCTTGCAGGACCGGTCAGGGATGATGTGGGGCGTCCCTCCGTCGGGACCCGTCTGACGCTCTTCTCGCGACTGGGCTGGGTTGTAGGTTCGGGGAGAAGGCCACGGAGACCGCGCGCCCTTCTCGTCACGTCACGTACACGGGTGATCGGTGCCACTGACGAGCCTCATCTGTGCCACTGCTGACACTCTCCGCCCGGTGAGGTCCCTTGGGTGACCCTGTCCACGGTGAAGTCTTTGCTTCTCCCCCTCTCCGTCCCGTACTATTTGGAACGAAGTCACCCGCTTGAGCGTGGACCATCTACATAATCGCTTGGGTTCTTCAGGACGAGAGATTTGTCTCTTCTCCACCACTCACTAATTACTACATCACGGGTTCATACCCCTGTTTATGTCACAGACAGTGACTTTCCGCTTTGGGTTACAATCCAGCACCACTTGGTTCACTTTCGAGCTCCAGCTTCGGCCACCGGGAGGTCTTTCGTTAGCTCCTGCGTCCCTCCGACCCAGCCCGGACCGCGGGATCTGCGAGCACTTCCCTTACTTGCTGGCTCTCCAGATCCTCTGGGCTCAGGGCCCGGCCCCAGTCCTGGGATCAGCCGTTTTCCCAGGAAACCACCACCTGGGGACAGGCGTACTACGTGTGCAATTTTTAAGTCATCGAGCTCTCAAGCTTAGGGCGCTCACGAGCGCGAGAGGTCGGGTGGGGAGACGGTGCCATCGGGCCCGGGCCAGGAGGCCTCCGTGGCCGCGGAGGCGTGCTGAGCTTTGCCAAACGGCACCACTTCCATAGAATCCGTCAGCAAGGAGGCCCACGCAGCTGTCAGGGCCCATCTCCCGCTCGAGGAGGCTGCCACACACTCTTCTTCCCATCCTTTGTTCTCTCAGCGTGCCCCCGATCATCCCGCAGGCCCGAGAGCACTATATGATCGTAAACGGGAAAGTGCTTTCCAGATACAGACGGCCCTCGAACAACTCGGGTCTCGACGTGGGTCCTTCATAGGTGGACTTTCAGGGTATGGTGCCGTAAACGTATCTTCTCTGCCGTGTGACTTTTTTTGCAGTTTTCTTTATTCCAGCCTACTTTATGGTAAGCACGCGGTATATGATACACCCGGCGCGTAAAACGTTGTTATTCAACTGTTACGTTACTGGCCAGGCTTTGGGTCAACAGAGGCTGTTAGCAGGCAAGCTTCTGAGGAGTCAAAGTTATACTCAGATCTCTGACTGGGAGAGGCTTGATGCCCCTAACTCCCAGGTGGTTCCAGGATCAGCTGTAGTGTCGGCCTTAAAAGGCAACTTACACACAAAGTCTCTCAGCAAAGCCCCGTCGGGTTTCCGGGTAACCAGGTGCCAGACCGGAGGCAACACCTGAGCTGCCCGGTCTCCCTTGTGGTGACAACATTCATCACAGTTTTATACACTCTAGACACAGGTCACCTCGGAAGACAAGAAATCAGCCCCATGCACGAGCAAGAGTCTGATGTCGTACAAGACGAAAGTGCAGTCAGTGTGTTGACACGTGTCGGGACATACCATCACTTCACGTGACCCGTGACACATTAGGACCCACGACACCCTGACTGATAACAAATATGTCCTCGCTCATTCAGAGGACCAAACGTTCCCTCACACACACCGGTTCACGGAATCTCCCGTGAGAAGGGCCACAGAGGTGTCTCCGCTCACGTTAACGAAGGTGACTTTGGGTCTCTGCCCAGGGGCGGGGTGGCTGCCGGGAGGACCCGCCACTGCTCAGAGGGCTCCAGCGAGGCCTCCATAACCGCCCAGGACTGGGATCACAGGCCTCCGGGCAGGGAGGGGTGGGGGGAGTGGCACCCGGCGAGGACTCGAGGACTCAGGAGCTCTGCGCCCTCCCCGGACGTGCCCTGTGCGTCTCTTCATCTGGCTGCTGCCTCGTGTCCTTTATCGCATCCTTCCACACACCGCTAAGCGCGAGTACATGGTTCCCTGGCCTCTGGGAGCCGCTCTAACCGGCTGCAAGAGCCCGAGGAGGACCCTCCACTCTGTGGCCTGTGGCGGGAGCACGGGTGGGGGTGGGGCGGCGGGACGGAGGCCGTGACCCGTGGGACCTGGCGCTGTCTCTAGATGCACGGTGTCAGAACGGAGTTGAATTCTGGGCACCCCGTGCACAAGGACTACTTCGTGTTCCGTGTTGGGGAACCCTGTTCCCCACCCCTGCTGGCACTGGCTCCGGGAACCTGCAAGGCTCCCCACGTTGCTACCTGTCACCTAACTGCCACCCCCCCGCCAAGCACAACAAGTCTATACTGAGGGACAGTCTACAAAATAACCTGTCTGGACTCCTCCGTTTGGTGATATCACCAAAGACCAAAAACAAGAGAAGAAAGGAAAGATGAGACCAGGGAACCGTTCGTGATTCAGGGAAACCAAAGAGAAGGGACAGCCAAACGCAGCGCGTGGTCCTTGGCCACATTCTGGGTTAGGACAACACCCGCCGTGGACGGGACAGGACGGGACAGCCCGAGAGGGCGCCGCCTCAGCGCTCGCCTTCCTCAGCGCGAGTGCCACACACACGGCAGCTGTGTACAAGTCCTTGTCCTCAAGACATCAACGCCAGAGGACCTGGGGTGAAGTGTGATCTCTGCGACAAATTCTCAAGTATTCAGGGGAAAAGATAGAGAAAGCAGACGTGTCAAAATGTAACAACCAGAGAATTTACGTGAAGGGTACACGGTGCTCCTCGGGCTAGTCTTTCAACTCCTTTAATAGCTTGAAATTTTTCAGAAGTGGCAACGGGACAGGATGCCTCGGTATGTGCTGCTGTGAATCGGAAGAAACGGGAGAAGCTTCGGGAAGCTGTGGGCGCTGGAGGGCGGGGTGGAGGGGAGCGGAGTGCATGGGGTTGGAGAGTCCTGTCACGGTAGAGACCTTTTCATAGTCTGTGGACTTTGACACACGTAAACGTATTACGTTGCCCAAGGGAAATGAATGACCGCAGTGTAAAGTTTCTGCCACCTGTCTGTGAATCGAATTAGGTATAAATGCTGACTCTCAGCCTGGGAACACTTACTTAGCACTTTCGGCTGATAACTCTGTGTTGTGGGAAGTTCCTCGGGCCTTCACCCACTAGATGCCAGGAGACGGCCCCCTCCAGCCACTCTGACAGCAGAAACATTCTGCCAACTGTCCCCCCGGGGGGAAAGTGAGCTCCATGAGGAAGCCCTGAGCTAGACAATTAGGACCAGGGCCTCCCAGGCAACGGAGTGTGCTCAGGGAACCTGCTGATTCGGGGGTAGGGGGTGGGGGGAGCATAAAAGTGACAGTACCTGTAACAGTCACCTCACCTTGATGAACATAGTTTCCTAGAAAAGTTCACTTAAAAAATTACAGACACACCTCTGCCAGAGTATGACGGTCGGACGAAATTTTCAAACCTCACTTTCAGTATAAAACAGATTCTGCCATGACATCCAACAAAGGCAAGTGAATTCCACAACCACTATGTCTCAAATTCTGACCTTTAACACTCTTCCCCACTTGCACTCTAACAGCACCGACGGGGATGCAGCGATCCGAAATCAGTGACAACCACGTCTGCTTACCCTGTCCCCCGACACGAGGCAGTTCCCGTTGGGGCTCCACTTGAGGACGGTGATGTCGCTGGTGTGGGTCGGGGGGACCGCATGCTGCTCCTTGTCCTGCTTATTAAACACTGTCACTTCTCCGGTCTCCCAGCCAACAGCCAGGATCATTCGCGTCGGATGCCAGCACAAGGAAGTGACCCGGAACGACCTCTCGATATGCGTATCGGGCGCATGCTCACCCTACAACGGACAAGAGGTAAATCCCACGTGGTGAAGGGAGACAGCTACTCTGGAACTTCTGGCTGATCAATGAAATCGGTATCAGCTAGAGGATATAAAGAGCTGTTTATTAAGGAAACGTTCTACTTAATTTTCATAGAAACACCAATCTTACCCTTGGCTATGAAGGCATAGAATTAAGACTCAACTGGCCACGCTGACCAGGTTATCAAGGCGTATGATCTCATACCTCATACTCACAACGGCTTGGTTGCTAGCTAGCATTTCAATGGGTTCCAATAAAACTTTATTTACAAAAATAAGCACTAGGCCCGGAGGTCAAGCGCGTTGACCCCAAGGTTCTATAAGTGCGGGCTCTTTTTTTTTTTTTTTTAAGTTTTTTAACGTTTATTTATTACTTTGAGAGACACAGAGACAGAGTGCAAGCGGGGGAGTGTCACCAACCCTGACACGGGGCTTGAACTCATGCACGGCGAGATCATGACCTGAGCTGAAGGTGGACGCTCAACCGACTGAGCCACCCAGGTACCCCTGAGTGCAGGCTCTTGGGTAACCCCAGGAGCCTTTCCAGGGTCTGCAATGCCAAAGTTATTTGTGGCCCCTCTCACCTCCAGGCTGTTTTCCAGGAGCGGGGGACCTCAGATAGGACCCAGAAGCACGCAGACATCACTGATGACCTTCGCCGCTCCAGTGAAGGTGCGGTGGGACTGCAGAGGGTTGCAGCGGGAAGGGAAACGTGATTGTCTTTGTGACACGTGAGGGGTGTCGTGCACGGAGAGCGGTAGGGAGCAGGGGGTGGGGGGGGCTTCTACAAAGCTCTCAAAGAGCCATCCTGGAAAGAGATGTGCTGAAGTCCTGACCCGGTACCTGTGCCACGACCTTATTTGGAAACAGAGCCTCTGCACATGATCAGGTTAAGAAAAGGTCATTAGAATGAGCCCGAAGCCAATGGCTGGTGTCCTTACAAGAAGGGGAAAGAGACACAGACACACATGATGGCAGTGGAGCGATGTGGGTACAAGCAGAGGCGGCCGCCAGAAGCCAGGATGAGGGCTGGCACGGTCCTCTCCCAGAGTCTTCAGGGACAGCGTGGCCCTGAGGAGCCCTCATTTCAGACTGTGGCCTCCGGACTGTGAGAGGACAGATTTGTTTTAAGCCACTCAGCTCACGGGGATTCGTTATGGCGGCCAGAGGACACCCGCAGAGCTTCCGATGGCCAACGTGGCCAACAGGAGACTGGACCGGGACGCACAGATGCACGGAGGGGTTGGCTCTGGTCAGAGGCCACAGGCTGACTGTGGAATCTGCTAGACACTCCTAACCATGTCCCCAACCTAAGTGCCGGGGCTGAGAAAACTGTCCATACTGAAGGGCTTTTATAATATTGGGAGTTTGAACCCCAGGAAAACGTGATACACACACACACACACACACACACACACACACACACACCCCACATTCCACACACTCCCCCACACCCGTGTGCACACATATACGTGAGAACGAAGAGGAGACAAGAGCCAGAGCTCTGGGAGTCAGCACTGTGGCTTCTTACTACTCACTTGTTCCAGGTATACATCCACGCTGCCTCCTGAGGTCGTGCTGACGGAGGCAACTGCCAGGAACGGATGGACAGGGTGCCAGTGGATGTGGGAAGGAGACCCAACGGAGTCCGGGGCTTCCACTCGGTGGTCAAAATAGAGGGCCATGATGACACTCAGACCAAGTCAGGGCTCAAACCTGCGTGGGAAAGATGGCCAAGTCCTGTTGGTTTTGAACAAAACAAAGACAGCGACCATCCGAGGAACCGGGAAGGACAAGCATCATGAAGCCAACATCGGAACATGATGCAACTGACAAAGGCCCCTTAAGACCATGCAGGCAACTTTATGTGGAAGAGAGCTCTAACAGGGGGAAAGCGTACAAAAAGAAGCAAGAAATTGGACCCGGAATGATCCAGGCACGACGGAAAGAATAAAACACTGCCATCAAAACAATAAAGTAGGGGCGCCTGGGTGGCGCAGTCGGTTAAGCGTCCGACTTCAGCCAGGTCACGATCTCGCGGTCCGTGAGTTCGAGCCCCGCGTCAGGCTCTGGGCTGATGGCTCAGAGCCTGGAGCCTGTTTCCGATTCTGTGTCTCCCTCTCTCTCTGCCCCTCCCACATTCATGCTCTGTCTCTCTCTGTCCCAAAAAAAAAAACCACACACACAAAAAAAAACAACAATAAAGTAAAGCCCGGCAGGCTGGACGACATCCTTATTCCAATCATAAGGAGGACAATTTGTATTTCCATAGCTGCCCTTTGAGCAAAAATCTCCAGCCAAATAGAAGTGAAACTGCTTCACAGAAATATATAGAAAAACCTAGTATTCGATTTGCTCTAAAGCCTGAAGACCACAGCTGTCTTCAACATCAGACTCTCAGGTAGTAGAAGGCAAGAAGGTTCCTTTGTTAGACAATCGAGAAAACGAAGCCATGGCAACAGCAGGGACGGTGAACTTGATTCGTTCTCCGTACTTAATGTCTTTCTTTCCCGGAAAAGATTTGCGTACCGCCCCGCGCAGGAGGGTGGGACGGTGCGTGACTGGCCAGTCCCGCTGCCCACTTCTCACACCCTCGAGTCAGTCTGGGGCAGCTAACTGGCAGATAAGACAATATTTGCAGGTTCGTGTGCTATCATTTAAAAGTATTCAACGTCATGCCCGTTAGAATGGCCGTTATCAGATAAAGATGATGTGGTTTACATAGACGACGGTACTGCTTGGCAATGAAAAGGAATGAAATCCTGCCATTTGCAACAACGTGGATGGAATGGAGGGTATTAAGCTGGGTGAAATAAGTCAGTCAAAGATATCCCCTCATATGTGGAACCTGAGAAACTTAAGATCGTGGGGGAAGGGAAGGGGAAAAAACAGGAAGACGAACCATAAGAGACTCTTAAATACAGAGAACAAACTGAGTGTTGATGGGGGAGCGGGGGGAAGGGGAACATGGGTCACAGGCAGCGAGGAGGTCACTTGTTGGGATGAGCGCTGAGTGTTGTACGTAAGCGATGAATCACGGGAACCTACCCCCAAAACCAAGAGCACCCCGTATACACTGTATGTTAGCTAACGCAGCAATAAATTATATTTTTTAAAAAATGGCTGTTACCAGAAAGATAGAAAATAACTCTTGGCAAAGATGTGGGGAAATCAGAACCCTCGTGCACTGCCGGTGGGGGTGCAAACTGGTGCGGACGCTGTGGAAGACGGTATGGTGGTTCCTGAAAACTCAAGCACAGAGTTCAGCAGCTCCACCTCTGGGTGTACACCCGGAAGACTGAAAGCAGGGGGTCGGGTACATCCTTGTACACGCACGTTCACAGCAGCACTATTCACAGTAGTCAGAAAGACGGAACAACCACTGTTTCTTGACAGATGAATGGAGAAACACAATATGGTGCACATACAGGACACAGAATGAACCAGCCTTGAGATTCTGACACGTCACAATATCGATGAACGTAGGAGACGTTACGTTCCGCTCAGCGAAATAAGCCAATCACAGAAGATCGAATGCAGTGTGTTTCTACCTCTGGGAGGGACCCAGCATAGTCACAAAGAGACAGAAAGTGAAAGGGTGGGTACCAGGGCCTGTAGCGCTGGGGGATGGGGAGCTAGTGTTTAATGGAGAGAGGATTTCTGTTTGGGAAGATGAAGAATACTGAAGAGGGTTGGTGGGGATGGTTACACCACACGTCAATGTGCTTAATGTCACCGGTTGTATACACGCAAATAATTACAATGGTAGATTTTATATTACGTATATTTAGCCACAAGAAAAAAAATGGTGTTAAAAAAAAATGGATGCGGGGCGCCTGGGTGGCGCAGTCGGTTAAGCGTCTGACTTCAGCCAGGTCACGATCTCACGGTCCGTGAGTTCGAGCCCCGCGTCGGGCTCTGGGCTGATGGCTCAGAGCCTAGAGCCTGTTTCCGATTCTGTGTCTCCCTCTCTCTCTGCCCCTCCCCCGTTCATGCTCTGTCTCTCTCTGTCCCAAAAATAAATAAACATTGAAAAAAAAAAATTAAAAAAAAAAAATGGATGCTGCGACGTTCTACCATCGGAGTGGAGAATGGACTATGCCATTTGCTTTAGCAGCAACAATAATTCTATCAGAGGAAGCCTCAAAGTCTCAGCTTGGATTTAGAGAAGGAAACCCATTTCAGGAAGAAGCTAAATGCACGAAGTAAAAATGAACAGTCACGTTATCAAACGTTCCCCTTTTTCTTCTGAGTATAGACTGAGTCCGAAACACAGGCACACTTTCTGAGGTGGTGTTCTCACTGCCATGGAGTAAGGAACGCATGCTGGGGGCTGCTGGTGGAGCAGGGAGGCACGGGCGGGAGGCGTGGGGGGCCGGAGTCAGGGGAAGGGGATTAGGATCCAGAGACCTCTCCCCCCCCATCACAAAGGGGACATCCACTCTGGACGGGGCTCCGACTGTCCTTATGCACTTTCATATGAAGTCAGTACAACGGAAAAAAACCGCATAAAAATCGGGGCGTTTAAACGAAAGGAAACGTTTGCGTTCAAGCAAAGGAAAGCTTTTGGGTTTTCATGTGTCGCAGCCAACCAAGGGTGGAAATTTGGGGCTATGACAAATTTGTACTCGTGTTTAACAAGTTTACTTGCTGAAAATATTGCTCTGAAAAATAAGTCACATTAATTTTGTTAGACTGAAGGAAGAGTTACCACAGCACTTGAGGTAAAACCTGGTTTCCCCTGTATTTTTTGTCTCAAACATTGCTGTGGAATAAGCATGGGTGCTCACAGGTTTTATTTTTTTAACGTTTTATTTATTTTTGACCCAGAGAGAGAGAGAGACAGCATGAGCGGGGTAGGGGCAGACAGAGAGGGAGACACAGAATCCCAAGCAGGCCCCAGGCTCTGAGCTGTCAGCACAGAGCCCGATGCGGGGCTCGAACCCAGGAACCGTGAGATCATGACCTGAGCCCAAGTCGGCTTAAGCCAGCCAGGCGGCCCACTCTGAGGTCTTTAAACTACTTTTTCCTGCCTGGGACTTCCTGGGAGACTCCCTCCCCCACACTCCACCTTTGGATATTCAGAAGCCCCATCCCTCTCTGACTTCACTACCAGGTTGTTCTAGGCTTCTCTCCAGCGTCCCCACACAGGCCGGTCCTTCATTGCAAAGTCCTTCAGACTTTGTTGCAAATGTGTGCTTGACTGACTTCTCTACCTGCTGCAGGTGGGAGTCCCTGGCTGCACCCCCAGCCCTGAGAACAGCACCCCCTTCCAGGCGAATACGATGAAGATGTTGATTAGCAAGGGAAGATGCTCTTGCTGGTTTATTGCCAACAGCGGCCAAGGTGGGTGAGTCCGTTTTTACCCATTGTGATGGATTGCTCACCATTCCTTGTACCTGCGTTTCAACGTTTTTCCACCACGAAGAGGTATTATCTGCATGATCATAAACAAAAGCTACCAGGGTAAACACAAGAAGAGGTAACTAACAATATTATCCTTACCTAACGACACCGATCAGTGGCATCAGCTCGCAAACAAGCGCACTTCCTTTCCTTAAACTCAGGGCCTCTAGAACAACAACAAAGTGGCAAATGTACAAACTTTGAGGAAAAGAAGCAAATTCCGTTAGTTTTAAGCGATCTGCTCCTGTCCGACGCCAGTCCCTGCCGCGGACCACCGCCTCGGGGCGCCCGGCTCAGCTGGGGGTTCGGGGTGCGCAGGCTGACTGAGCAGCGAGGGGGGGCGGGGGGAGGCTCTGGGGGGCGGCGGCAGAATGCAGGGGCGCGGGCACTCGCGGCCACCCAGCCGGCGCCCCCTCACCGCAGACGGTTCAGGGTCACAGCCGCAGGCCTTGCACGCGAAGGCCGACCGGCCGCGCATAGGGGCGGTTTTCTAACCCCCACCCCGTCCCGCGGGGGTCCCGGGAGCCCTGCCGGCGCCGTCCCGCCCCGCGGCCCTCGGTGGAGCCCGGACTGCGCCCGCTGTGGCCATCATCGCGTGCTGACCTCGGACGCCGCGCCCAGCTCCCGCCGACCCCGACCCGACCCGCTCGGCCGAGGCCCGGTTTCCGGAGGAAAATGGCCCGGGGGTCCGCGGGACCGGGGTCTGGCCCGGCTCGTCATCGCCCCGCTACCCCGCCCCAGACCGCCACGGAGCCCCTACCCGGCGGCTCGCAGCCCTCGCCCTTCGACCCCACTCACCTCCGCGGAGCCGCAGCGCGTTGCCCGGACAACGGCTGCGCGCGGAACGCGGAAACTGCCGAACGTGAGAGCGGCGGAAGCCGAGGCCACCCGAAGCGCCTCGAGAGGCCGGAAAGAGCCGAATACGGTCGAGAGTGTTCGTGAGGCGCCAAGGGCAAGAGTCCCTGGCGGGTCCCCGCCGGCGGCCAGCTCCGCGGTGCTGCGGGGCATTTTGTCCCCGTCGCAGTTCACAACCAACAACGCCAGCTCAGAAACGGGAGCTAGGAGGCCAGCATTTGCCTGTGCTGCGCAGAGAAGGGAAGCGGGTGACATTTTTATAGGTGTGATGAGGATGCAAAGCCTGTTGGGACCGGCTCCTGCAGTTACACCTTAATAAACGGGTTGGTCAGCTGACAGTGTGGAGGAGAAACGGAACGCCATCTTCCTTAAGATTCTCTTCGGTTCATCTTCTTCGGTCTTTGGGACCGCACACCGTTTGCTGGGCTCTACTTTGTCTCATCTCAAGGAGGAGGGTGTGGTTCAAGAGGATTTCTGAGCAAAGCCGATTGATTCGACGTAATACTTGATGTGCATGCAACGCTTTGGGGGCCGTATGGACTCCTTTGGCGAGAAAATGGTAGCCAAGGGTACCTATGGCTTCATCCCATTAGAAACCAATGTGACTCGTGGCGGCAGATTGCATTCCCAAAGGCACTAGAACGTGCGCCCTGGCCTTTTCGGTCAGGTGTGCTTAAACTTGGAAATTAACTTTGAACAACACAGCAAGGTCATGTCGTTAAAGGGAAAAAAATGTTGCTACAGCAAAGAAGTCCACATTAAGTGAAAAAAATAAAAGGAAAATGCAGATACTACTGGATCCGACAGGATAGGTGCTGGATCACATAGGTACAAGGAATATGCCGTTTTTAAAGACCTCATTTTCAGAAACAAAAACATTTATTGGGGAAAAAAAGAAAACCCTGACATGAGACACTGTAGGTTTAAGGTGTACTGCGTGTTACTTTGATGCATTCATGTTATGTGGCGGCTGTAGCGACGTCGGTCATATGACGTAACTAAGTACAGTATTATCGTCTGCATCCGTCTTATTGTGCATTAGAGCTCTATGACTCATACGCTGCTCCTTCCAGGTTTGTACCCTCGAACACCACCCCGCTTATCCTCTCTTCCGTAATAAACGCGAGAATTTAGAACACACTCCTTTATCGCCATGACGAAGAAATATGACCCACGTGCCCAGCGCCATCCACTGCACTAAGAAACTTCAAAAGCACACACTCGATCTAATAAAGGGCGTATTTATCTCACTCAGTTGCATTTGTATACTTTGTCGTCAAAAACCCGGTTCGCGCCGGATTCAAGACTCTGAGCTGAGGCGGCGTTTACTTCTCACGCATCCGTCAACACGGCTCCGGCCAATCACAGCCAGGGCGCTGGCCCTATTGGCTGTCTATCCGCCAATCCGGAGAGACGCATTGGCCCGCACGGCCGCGAGGCCGGCGTCACAACACTACCAGCGTCGCAGGCCCGCCCCGCGCCCCCTCCCAGCGTCCGTACGTGCAAGCGCGCGCGCCCGCTGCTGGCCAATGGCAGCGCCCCTAGGGGGGCGCGCCCGCTGGAAACTCGGGCGTGCTCGTCCCCGCGCGCGTCGCCCCGCCCCGCCCCGCCACGCGCGCCGTCCGCCCCGCCCCGCCCCTT